GGGGGGGGGCTCGGATTTCGCAACATGTCACAATATCAATCATAATATCTAATGTTTAACGGATATTTTGGCAAGTTTTTGTTCCAAATTTTGTTATACAGGCATACCTCGCTTTATTGCGCTTCGCAGATACTATTTTTGCAAATTGAAGGTTTATTGCAGCCCTATATCCAGCAAGTCTAACTGCGCAATTTTTCAAACAGCGCGTGCTCCCTTTATGTCTCTATGTCACATTTCGGCAATACTAGCAATGTTTCAAACTTTTTCATCATTATTTTGCTGTTACGACGATCCGTGATGTTATTATTGTAGTTGTTTTCGGGAGCAACAAACCGCTCTCATATAAGAGGGCGATATAAAACGATTGGCCGTTCCCCTGTCTCTCCGCTCTCCTCTGACCTCTCTAATCCCTGAGACACAACAATATTGAAATTAGGCCAATTAATAACCTTACGATGGCCTCTAAGTATTCAAGTAGAAGAAAGGGTCGCAAGCCTATCATTTTAAGTCAAAGCAAGAAATGAATAAGCTTAGTGACGAAGGCATGCCGAAAGCGGGCCGAAAGTTAGGCCTCTTGAGTCAAGTTGTGAATTCAAAGAAAAAGTTCTTGAAAGAAATTAAAAGCCTTACTCCAGTGAACACACGAATGACAACAAAGTGAAACAGCCTTATTGCAGATGGAGAAAGCGTAATAAAGTATTTTTTTAATTAAGGTATGTACATTGTTTTCAGATATAATCCTATTGCACACTTAGTAGACTACGGTTTAGTGTATACATTACATTTATGTGCACTGGGAAACCCAAAAAATTCGTGTGACTCGCTTTATTGCGGTGATCTGCAACCGAACCCGCAATATCTCCAAGGTATGCCTGTATTTGTTCTATCTAGATTCAGGGACGGCTTCTTTGCAGAAAACCATTCATTTCTGAGAGAATTTTGCTTGATAGTATGCAGAAATCTACTAGAATGTATGACACGGCTGCTATTATGGATATTGAGGTGTTTAGTGCAGGAGGCAGGACATTTACAGCTGCCGCGGTACGTGTTGAAGTATTACAAGCAGGACAAGTTTAGAATGTAGTTATTTGTGAGATTTTACACTGCACTGAATGGAGACCGACTGGACTGATTGCCCCGGTCCATGACTCAGCCATCAGGTTAGTCGACTGTGAGGAGATTACTTAGTGATTGGTGTCAAGTACTCAATGAATTTCTCTATTAATATACGTTCATCTGCTGTTGATGGTTGTGTAATAGACTGGCTACTGAGTCAGAGAATTGGGTTATGTAATCGTTCATTATAATTCACCAGGCTCTTTCAGGTTAAGTAAATTTTTATTAAGTTAGGTCCTCATAATCTACAAAAAGATCAGGCAGATGATCACCTTATTTACACTGAGAACTGACATAGTTCGAGTTCTGCTATGTGAACAGGAAGTAACATCTGGTACATTTCCTGGAATTCTGGCAGTTACAGCAAAATCGGAAAGTCTTTTAGAATTCGAGAGCTGACAGTTTGAAACGGCTATAACTTAGAAGAGCGAATGTCTGAACCTCATCCTCTGATCTTCATACATCAAGTCGCCGCCAACCTTAGCGTTAGGTCAGTAACTGCCAGAATCACATAGCAAAGCAACATGATTGGAAATTCACGAATTTAGGGAACTTCCTAGTTTTCAAAGACCAATGGTGCACGTTACGAGGAGTAGATTTCTCTTTGATGCTGTGGTTCGTGGACCTCGGGATTCCAGAGAGTCCATTTTTCCTTGAGAGTCTTTATCCAACTTTCGACAAATTCAGACGCGAAACTACGTCACTTTGTCTATTACTAATTCTGGTGATATAAGCCGTAGAAAGTTCAAAGTTAAAGTGAGAGAAATTTTTTATTTCTTTTAAATAGTGTGTTCAGTTATTAAAAATTAATTAATAAATCACATAAGTGCAAAATTTCTTGGAGTAGTGTAGTGATAGTAGCCTGAGGACCTTCCTGCCCTGCCCGAGCCAGGCCCGCAAGACCATAGAGGAGCACTCATCTTGAACCTTACTGAGCAGAACCCAGCTACGCCCGACTTTCCCTACTTGCCCGACACTTGACTGCGTATAGTTAAAGAGAACTTTGGACTAGTACCAACCATCACAACTCTCCTTCCTTTCCGCCTTACTCCTGGACATCCGCGAGGCAAGAAATATTGTAGTGCAACAACAGCAAAGTGTCACGGAACAGGGTGAAGGTGAGCAGCATCACAGGGAAAGGAAGGGCTGTAAAGTGATATCCAATATCCTGGAATAAGGACAGACACACGTGGCGACCAACTCGTGGCATAAGTTCACACGTGAGGGAAGACAGTTACAAGCGACGTCAGACGCCGGGCATAAGACAGTCAGCTATTAGTCTAACGGCTATGACTGGAAATGCATAGGAGGCTGATTGTTGGGTTGGTCAAGTTACTGAGTAGATTGGTTAGCGACACTGATTACTGAGTGTTCGTTAATTGTTGAAGTGAGTCGTCACCTCTATTCATGGATGAGTGGAGGAGGGGGTTAGTGTGGATTGCTACCGTACTCTGGTCAGCTAGCTTTAGTCATGGCGCTGGTGGGGCCCACAAAGTGTGAGGCAAAGTGGCGTTCGATGCTTGCTTCTTTTGACAAGCAACACGAAGCTCTAATAGATAACAATCTGGAAGCAACGCAGGAGATGAACTTAGTCCGGAGGGGGCTCTTAACAATAGGACAGTTTATTCAGAAATCCCCGCAGCAAAATGGCAACGGCCTTACTTGGAAAGCCTGATCAACAAGGCGGCAAAAGCAAAGAACATTTTATGCAAACCTCTGGACGGAAAGGTCCTGCTCACTGGAATGATACGACTATACGCAGCAGTACACAGGCTGTTGAGGGACAGCCTCTTTGCCGGAGTGTGTTCAAGGAAAGGGGGAGATTGCGCCCGACAGCAGACATCGAAAGAGAAGTGGCGATTCTGATGACGGTAACAGCATCAGCAAGAGAGAGGCGACGGAAGAATCTATACCTCTCTCGGTCTACCGAAAGCCGCGGCCAGTGGTAACAAAGAATGTTTTCGCTCCGCTCAGTGCCTTACCCGTGCAGGGTGCGGAAGTAAGTGATGAAGGACCATCTTCAGACGACAGTATTAGAAAAGGCAGACCACCCCTCTAGTTCTAACTTCTGAGGCTAATTTCCTTAGCCTTCAGAAAGATCTGAAAACTGCTGTGATTGGGGACTTCTTCTTCCGGGATACTACATCTGGTACCAGGATCCCAACAAAAAGCATGGCAGACTACAAAGCCACGCAAAACCTCTTAAGTCATAAAGGTCTCCCACTCTTTACACCTAAGGAGACGAACCAGTAAAAGTTGTCATCGAGCATTTGCAGAATAACACCTCATCCGCAGATACTACAGTATCCCTCCAGGTGCCACTATGGTTGTACAGGATTATTATCTTTCCACCATTTAAAGAAATAAGAGCATATTCTATGAAAATACCTGTAGCAACAACAGTAACAAAAATGACCAAAATAGAATATGTAGCAATGATCCCTATATAGGACAAACAGGACAGATGATAATCTCTATCGGAGTGTTTCAGTTTTAACTCTTCCTCTGATATGAGTTTCTACACTTACTCGACTCTGTTAACTTGCTAATTTTAACTCATCAAGATGACTAACCACGTTTGCCCGCAATAGTTGGCAAACTTGGAATTACCTCTACTTTTATTTCCTTCTGTGAGACCAGTAACATGTGCGTACTTGGAGGGGAGTCTGCGTGCTTCTCTGTGTAAACTTCCGTTGTGCAGCAGTGTAAATAATGACGTAACAAACTTGTTCGACAGTATGTTTTACTGAAGTTATTTAGTTAACGACACTAATCTAATCAGAGAAAATCTTGTTATGGAATTAGCTGTTGACCATTTCAAGGTAATACTAAAATAAATGTTATAGAGGTCACTGGCATAATCTGAGTTACATTAAGTACAGTCTTACGAAATATAAGGCAGAAAACAGATCGGTTGAGTCAAATGCAGGAAGACGAGTGTTAAGTTTCTGAGAATCAATTTAAGTGGACTAGTTTTGAATGATTATTATTGGACAGAGTACCAAATAGTTCCTTTGTTGTTGTAGTTTAATTCTCCACAGGAAATGTCCGCAACTTACTCCACATGCTGTCGAATGTTGGCGTGATTATTTTAATCAAGCAAATGTAGTAGCGATAAAGCACTAAAACTTTATTCAGGAGATCCTTGGTTCGGGTTTCGGCTGGGACACCGACTATACTGACTGAGGTTTATCATGCCTTCCTCAGTCCCTCCAAGCAAATTCAGGGATCATAGCTCGGTCGGGCCACCATTGCTTTCTTCCTGATCATTTCCAATTAATTATTCACCACTCTATCCACAATTCGACGCCGTATACCCTGAGATACTGACGGCTTCGTAAAATAAGCCGGACTTGTGAATAATGAGTTCACGTAACTTAAGGCAAATATATCGAAGTTTTCTTGGGTGGTCTGAGAAAATAGTGAAGTATTGTTGGTGTTCAGAGTGATATTTGAAACGGAGATCTCCCGATACAAGCGACAAGCGTCATCGTTTGAGCCAATTTGCTCAGTAACTTAAAAATATCGCACAAGATATCAGTGCGTTTGTAATGTCGGAAAGGGATTCAGTCCTGCTCCCTGTTAACGTTCTGATTCTTTAAGTATGTGTTCATTGATACGTATTTACTATGATTACTCAATGTTGATTCTGTTTTCGAAATTTTCCATTCTACCAGACGTGCAGACAAGTTATTCATTTGTTCGGTAGACTGATAACGTATATTTATTTTTTCCCCTGTAGCAAGAAACTCCACAAGCATTCATGTTACTCCAGGGGACAAGACATTACAGCATCTCACTCTGTTAAAAAGGTACGTTTCTTAAACATAATGTCACATATGCTGGTAACGTTACAAGTAATTAATGGGTTCTCTGGATTGAAGAATCTATTTTTTCGACTGAAAGGGGTGTAAACTTCCCTATTTATGTATTAGAATATTATATCAAATTTTATTACTTTATTTTCTTATCTAGGAGCGACATATTTTGCTGCTGTCCTTTGACGTGCCAATGTCTAAACTTTATGTGTATTCTCCACAGAACAACAGAAGAAGATTAAAAAGAGAAGAATGGCAAGTGAAGAAGAACGCCTAACGAGACTGCGAAGGACGTTGCATTCCTTAGCAACTCGAGTCCCAAAAATAATTCTGACACGAGTTGACTGGACATTTCCTGCTTTGAAGAATCAGGCTGTAAGTGTTGTGCGTCCAATTAAAAATTTATAGCAGAAGCATTTTTATTATAATGTTCTCCAATTCATAATTATCTTCATCTAAATTATATGTGCCAGTAACCAAATTAAGTGCAGTTTTCTTCATTATATATCACTGTGTGTGTGATGGATCTCTATACATCTCACTTCCACGTATCCTTTCTCACTTAGTGGGTGGGTGGAGTCCAACTGGGTCCACTCGGCACTGCGGCCACTGATTGAATTATTGTAGCCTTCCCTGGGTGATTATGATGATGAAGAATTTGGTGGAATGAAGATTGGTAAGGGGGACCGAAGTAGTCGGAGAAAACCCGCCCCCGCGCCACTTTGTCCACCACAAATCCCACACGACAAGACCCCGGAATCGAACCATCGCCGTCGTGGTGGGAAGCCAGCTACTAACCGCTCGAGCTATGGCGCGGCCTCCACGTAGCCTTACTGACCTCCATGTTACAACCGAAATTTCAAAACACTTAGGAACAACAGACATTCGCTTCACTTTAAGACACATCCTGAAATTTTGTTCCCCTCATATCCAGTCTCTTATTACTCTCGTTGTTCTGTCTTGGAGGCCTACGCGTAAGCACCTACGTTCCTAGAAGTCTCAGCACAAACGTACGGTATGCATTTGTTTTCCCCAATTCCAAATTACACGTGCAGTCTTCTGCTTAAATGGCTGTACCACGAACAGGGAACAGAAATCCCATGTCAGATTTGGCGGTGACTGTGAAGGTTACTGGCTTCGGACGTATTCCGAAAGATTCGTACACTACACTTTGTATTGTTATAACAATTAATCTCCCTAAATAATTTTCTTAGCGCAATTTTTCTAAACGAAAAGGAGTACAAGGAACAAATCAACATTTCACACTACCAAGAGAGCGGCACACGCATTGGGACACAGAGTGGCCGCAATACAAAAGAGGGAAAGACCATACATCCTACAACATAGAAATTAATAATAATTACAATAACGTACCTTAAGATTACTACTATTCCTTAAATGCGTGTAGCGCATAAATATAGGATATACGTATATTTTAGTGATATTTTACAACGTTTTAACGAACATTTAATGAACTAAATGAGGATTAGTGTCTTTTAAACCTAAATCAATATTTTTGCACTATATACGGAAGAAGACTACAATTGGTCTACGTACACTCTTCTACAATGCCTTTTGGCCTCACACGGCCACCTCCACGTTTAGTTACTCTTGCTAATATTTTTGTCTCTTTATTTTCGGCACGTGTGTGACGTGCTGTTACTTTCAATAAAATTACACTAAAATACATAAAATGCTGGTACTGCTTGTTACCAGCAGCGCTAAATGCCAACTTATGTCAGTCCGATACGATTTTCTCGTGGTGTGTTGGTGTCTATCCTTGTTCCATTATTTTGACTCTATGTGTAGCTTGTATCAATTTTATCTAAAAGTAGTAAAGCTTTCCACATGCAACTAAATTGAAGAGGCATTACAAAATGTGTAGAAAGAATAACTACGACTGAAGATGGCCATCTAAGGCCGAAACATGTTGTAGAAGAATGCAAGTAGGACAGAAGACAAAAAGAAAACCTTGAATCTGGACGGTGTATAAACTTATCCACTGATGATTACTCTACAAATTTCCATCTTGGAATAATACTGAGCCTGGTACGATAAAATTGCATCACGCTTCTAAGTCAAATAGGTCATACACAAATGTTGTGGTTCACGAGGAGACACAAAACCATCTAGCTTCCTTCTCATGCAACAATATTTGTCAATGTGACAACTGAAATACTTCAAAACGCCTCAGAGTCCAGCTCCACTGTAGGTCCTGATACACTTTCTCTTTCTTTCAGAGTGTTAAATTAAGTGCAACAAAGCACCTCAATAAGGACGTTAATGCAGAGGAACTTCTTTGTGAACAGAGTGCAGGATTGCCAGAGTTATACAGAGAAGGGGACGTACATAAGTGCGAGATATGCAAGAAATCATTCTCTCGTACATATAATCTGTCGGAATATGCAGTTGGAAGCAGCACAGAAACAATGTCGCGTTGTGAAATGTGTGCCACATCCTTAACTCCTAAGTGTAGTGCAGTACAACGATTCAGTGGTCGTGTATGGTCCTTTGCATGCAATGAATGCAAGAGAGGTTTCACTGGTCGTGTTAATCTAGAGAATCATATCAGGGTACACACTGGAGAACGGCCATTTTCCTGCGAAGTGTGTAAGAAAAGGTTCACTCAGCTCCATAACCTATACAAGCATCGAAGATTACACAGAGGAGAAAGACCATTTTCTTGCGAAGTGTGTGGAAAGGTGTTCAAACAGCGCCCTCACCTAAACAGGCATTTAAGAATACACAGTGGAGAACGGCCATTTTCTTGCGAAGTGTGTGAGAAAACTTTCACTCAGAGCTCTACCCTGAAGAATCATCTGAGGGTGCACAGTGGAGAACTGCCATTTTCTTGGAAAGTGTGTGAGAAAACTTTCACTCAGGGCTCTACCCTGAAAAATCATCTAAGAATACACAGTGGAGAACGGCATTTTTCTTGCAAAGTATGTAAGAAAATGTTCTCCCAACGCTCTAACCTAAACACACATCTCAGAGTACACAGTGGACAACGGCCTTTTCCATGCAAAGTGTGCAAGAAAAGGTTCACTCATCGCTTCGTTCTGAATATGCACCTCAAATCACACAGTGCAGAACAAGCATGATCGTGCGATATGGAAGGGAATGTTCACCCATGACGGAAAACTAAAAAGGCGAAACATGGAATAACATGATAAATAACAATCTCGTATGTGCAAGAAAGCATCCATTCAACGCGACAGTGCTAGCCTACAGACACATTCTGGATTTTGTATTTCGATCTATATGTATTTATTGTGTCAACTGAATTATGGTGTTTGAAGTATTCTATTTTGCTTCAAGAATTTATCTGGTTACAGAACCTGAATGTTTTACTGTGAGATATGTTTCGGGGCCAGATTCGTCATCTTTATATCTTCATAATTTCCTCGATTAAGACTCTTTTTATTAACATACGCTCATCCTTTCGTATTATTATAAGTTGTATTAATCTCTTTGAGGTTTTGTTTTATGGTATTACAGGAATATTCACACATCAATCTTCCCTGTTCATTCTTATGAAGATGTGTTCAGGAATTGATTTCACATTTTCAATGTTTTCTAATTAATTAATTGATTTTTCATAATTAACTTCTTTACGTGCATGAGCCCACTATTGTTTATTGGAAGCCTGATTAGTATATTAGGTTTATAAAATAAAAAATTAATAGTATAGTCACCTTCAGATTCAGTTTTCTTGTGTGATTTCTCTTGTCCGTGTCGAAATGTTGTTAGATGTTTATATGTTTTATTTAACTGATGTTTATTTGATGTGACTGGTTTCATTATTCCAGTTTAACAAATTTTATCATCTTCTATGTTTCCTATCATACTCTATTTTGTATCGTAACTCCGATTGTTTTTTAAAGGATAATAAATTACTGGTCCGCATCAGATGTTCCCTGTTAGTAGCTATGTGCATGGCCACAGTTGTTTCCTTCCCTTGCGTTTGTATTTCCATGACTCGCCATAGGAAAGTCACTGGGCTGCGATTTCAGTGACGTCACATTTCTGAGTCTAAGCACAGAAGAAGTATGTGCCTTGGTCTCGGACCAGATCGAGGCGCTTGGAAGTGTGCGAATGTTTATCTAGTTGTTACAAAACATAAATATATCCCCGACCTGAACTGAATTTTCATTCAACAGATGAAACTAATGAAATCTTCCTTCGGAAGAAGCAGTATCGATGTGCAGTTATCGTCCGGAGATATGGACACAAACTTTCCGCCCCCCCCCCCGCACACGCATCCTCAGAAGTTCAGATGATGAGTGGTGTTTTCACACGCCATATTTACACAAGAGTTGTCATCTGCCTCAGGTTTATTGCGCCCCCTCTTCGCCCTTGGGAAGACAACAGATTACTTTACAAACATACCGCGGGGAAAAATGCCACAAATTTACAGACAAAGAAAGCCTTTGTTATGACGAACAATTTGATGCTACACATCAAGTCGCTTTGACTGACTTACCGTCACTAATAATGTGACTTTGACTTCGATAACCTGAGAACACAGCATGCACCTATCCCATCAACTCCTGCTGAAGGAAGCAGAGATAGTCTCAGAGACGTCAGACATTACTCCACGTTGACGTGGTAGATCAGCCAAGAAAAGTTCGCTGTAACACAGTAAACCCCTTCCTTACTCTGTTCATTAGTTCGGAAGGTTTCCGTTTCAGTTGAACATCTTACAAATCCCACAGTGCTTAACTGCGACAAGCAAGGTATTTTAGATACATAAGTTACTTCCAATGGATAGTTAAAGCGCAAGAAGTGTGTACAGTAAAACTTATTATAACATATTATAATATCGAAGGCTTCTGTGGTCTTGTGGTCAGAGTTCCTGGCTAAAGATCCAGAGCTCCCAGCTTTGATCCCCGGCTCTACCAGATTATCTGACAAATAGTGGTTCTGGAACGGGGTCCACGCAGCCTCGTGAGGATAATTGAGAAGCTATTTCAAGGAAATATTGGCTCCGGTCTAGAATACCGAGATTAACAGCTTTAACTTCGCCGACAAGCAGCGGTCGCTAGGTCGGTATAGTTCGCTTTCGGGCTGCATGCCATGAAGGTTTCCATTATATCATATTTTCTCGTGTAACCTGGTGACGTGACAGTAAATAATGGGTTCTGAATTTGATAACTCGATTTATTGGATAATTTCACACGTCGTAAGTGCAATTCGTTATTGCACTTTCAAGATTGTTGTATCTATGTCACACAAATAATTATAACACTCTCAAAGTTAAGAGATAAACTGCTGAAGTCTTCCTGACGAAACCTCGAACTGAACTGCTTCTTATATAGGATCGGTACGGACCACGCACAGAAAGCCCAGTTCTATTGTTGCATAAGGAAGACCACAGAGAAAACAAGTCTCGTGATTCCTAGCCAGCGTCTTCATTGGAAACACTTGCGTATCCGCATATCTACGGATTTGTATAAATTAAACCGTTTACTTTCTGTACAGTGACAACCATTCCTACACAAGGACAGCCTAGAGCTGGAGCTAATTCCATTAAAAAGAATACTTAGCATAAAAAAGCACCGTGCCTTTAGTCCGCAAGCGAATTATACCGACCGAGCGACGGCGACCTGTCGGCGAAGTTAGTACCAACTTTAGCGGATAGAGGGTATCGCGTAGTCAGCGCAACGAATCACTACGGCCGTTAATTTCGGGTTTCTAGACCGGAGCCACTACTTTTCCATTCAAGTATCTGCCCAATTATCCTCACGAGGCCGAGTGGTCCCCGTTCCAGAGCCATTACTTCTCAGAAAGTCTGGTGACGCCGGGAATCGAACCCGGGACCTCTTGATCTTTATCTGGGAACTTTGACCACAAGACCACGTAGGCGGTTCCCATTGTGTACAGTATTATAAAACTTAATATGTTGCCAGGTCCCAACGAAACCCTGTAGTCACTCATGAATGAATGAATATTGTAACCGCTCACTTCCTTTGTGCCCTTTTCGTTGTGCGCCACTCTTTCACCTATCACTTCTTTGGGTTCTTTTTGGTAGTCGGTAGAGTTGAGTTCCTATCCCAGGGTCTTATAAGGGTCTGGCTCGGACAGGGCAGGAAGAACACTTCACTACAGTCACCCACCTTTCGACGGTTGCACTTAGTAGTCCTTTAATCCCTTCCAGCTTTCTGCATACAACTGAATTTATTAATACTATTGATTTGAACTGTACTTATACTATTTTACGGAAGGGCCGTAGTGGTAAATTTAGTTTCCGACTTTGCCGAAAGTAGTGTCAAGACTCTCCGAGGTGGATGCCCTCTCTCTGAATTCTGAGGTCCACGAACCCCAGACTCCAAGAGAAATCCACTCCTCCACTTCTACCATTGGTTAATTTTCCAAACTAGGAGGTTCCCTAAATTTTGAATTCCCAATCATGTTGCTCTGCTATGTGATTCTGGCAGATGCTGACCTGACGCTAAGGATGACAGCCCCTTGATGCATTACAGTCAGGGTGTGAGGCTCCGGCCGTCCCACTTCTAAGTTATCGCTGTCCCAAGCTGTCAGCTCTCATTTTCTCAAAGCCTTTCCGACGTTGCTGAAACTGCCAGAATTCCAGGAAAGTACCAGATGTTACTTCCTGTTCACATAGCAAAACTTGAACTATGTCCCTTCCGCGTGTAAGAGCTGGCTATCTGCCGGATCTCTTTGTTTGTAATTTAGTAATCTTGATCTAATACATGTTTAATTTATGCACAACAGTTCTCCAATCAAATGAACGGTTACAATATATAGTCGTATATTAACTCATATAGGGTATAGCACTCACTTAAATGAAGAAAACAAGTTACCGTCAATATAGTCCCAAGAATCTATGCTTGCTGAGATGTAGGTGAGTCAAAACCTAAAAGGGCAACTTATATGTTCTCCAGAGATATTGTTTTTCGTCCAAACCTCACTGCGGTAAATGCACGAATGAATGAATGTATACTGGGTGCGTCTTCTCGGGTTTTGCACTGCGACCTACAAGTGGTCTATTGTGCTTCCACATTTGATTATCCCTGAGCAATCCTCTTCGTCGAATGAAGCGTAGGATTTTGTAGGTGGGGGCAACAAAATAGTCACTTGGTTCAATAAAGTAGTAAGTAAGTAAAGTTAATAAGCCATGGCCTCACATTCACACAGGATATGTGTGGCTGTTTCATTTTCCTCTTAGCACCTCTCACAAGTGGTAAATATAATTTACAGAAATTCTCAAAGGTGGAACATAGACAGAAAAATATCATTGAAAATGATTATTAATCTCATTAAAAAGTGCAACATTATGTACTTTTAGCTTAATGTTCGAAGTCTGTGCCCCCCACCTCCCGCCACATTTATTCTTCGCGTGTTTATTTGTTTCCGCTGTAAAATATTTGCCGAGCTATTGTAGAGTGACGGACGATTCTCCTGATTCCATTATTCTAGTTTTCAGGAACTGAGTCACATTTCATTCAAAATTTGTTACACCTGGCATTTTCTATGAGGTCAGAATTTTATGAAGTATAACACTTAACTTGAATTGAAAGGAAGCAGGAGATTACTTCTTCCAAAACTTCGT